GAGGGTCTTCCTCTTCTTTTTCACTGATCCTCCACTTTCCCAACCACAATGTCCTTCTCCAGGATTCATCCCTCCTGGTCACTTGATGTGTATACACACAAACACACTCACTCACACAGACCTCTGAACCCAGCTGTGGTTTGGTTGGAACCGTGCTGAGTGCTGGTAAGAGCTTGTTCGTTACCAGCTTCATATGCAGGTGACTGAGCTGGACCTTTCTACTAGAGCCCCTTTATGTTTCTCTGTTTATGTCTTTATGTTTAGATCTTCTCTCTTGGACTATTCAGACTCCCCAAAGATGCCTCTGGTCTCCCATTTGAAGGCAGAAGACCCAGTCAGAGGTGTGAGAAATGTTGTTGATACCAACAAAAAGTAATCCAATCCGTACTCATTTTTGCCAGAGTAAGGTTTTCTTTATTCGATTTTCCAAAATTGGGTGCCCAACCCATTATACATAGCCAGACAGCCACATGGCTGGCCCACAAACAGTTTTAGTCCCCTGTCTCGCAAAAATTCCTCCTCTAGTTATCCTTCTATTAGATATTATTGTTGTTGTTATGTGCCATGGAGTCAGTTCCAACTCATAGGACCCTGTACAGGGTTTCCAAGGCTGTAAATCTTTATGAGAGCAGAAAGCATCCTCTTTCTCCCGCAGAACAGCTGGTAGTTTCTAACTGCTGACCTTGAGATTAGCAGCCCGATTCGTAACCAAGATTCGTAACCAAAGGGAAGTCACTCTCAGCTCTGAGCTATGCCTGTCTCCCGTTCCTTTCTGAGACAGTTCTAACACTCTCAGATACCTCACAGAAACCACCTTGGGTAAACAGAAAAAAGTATGAACTTACTGGCAGCTGTCATTAGATACATCTGACTGGACAGACATCAGCCTTGACCCCTCACAGCAAACCTACTAAGATGGGATACCAGGAGCTGCTTCCTAAAGGAGCAATGTAAACATCAAAACGCATGGCTTCAAGTGCTGAAGAAATGATGCAGCAGCTGTGTTTGTTGTGGTACCAGTACTCTTTTCTGCCAATGGTACCATCAGCCTTAGGACCTTTCTATAAGAGCAGCCTCTGAAACCATGCTGACAACAACGCGCTCAGAGTCCACCACTTTTCCCTTTCACACTGGCTCTCCCGGGGACTCCAACCATAAACACACTCACTCCCCTTCCCTACAAGACCACAAGCACCTCATGTTCAGAGAAAAAAAAAAAACAAAGAAAACCCTCAAGTTCATTTTGTGCCCTCCTCTTCTTCAAACCTGTATCAGCACCGTCTTCAGTCACCAAATGAGAAGTCTCGGTGATCGTCTGTCATAGTTCTCTAGAGTGGCTATCACAGAAACACAAGTGGGTGGCTTTCACAAACAGAAATTTATTTTCTTCAGGTTCGGGAGGACAGAAGTCCAATTTCAGGGTGCTGGCTCCAGGAGTAGGCTTTCTCTATCAGCTCTGTGGGGAGTTCATTCCCATCAATCATCTCCCAGGTCTAGGAGGTTCTCAGCACAGAGAGCCCAAGTCCAAAGGATGCCCTCCGCCCTAGACCTTCTTGTTAATAAGAAGTCCCTCTCTCTCTCTCTGAGGAAACTCAGAGCTATGGCATGTAAGGTTGTTGCATTCCATTCAAATCCCCTAACACGTGATTGGCTGACCACATCAGACCACATCAAAGGAGATAATTACATCACTACATCACTGCCAAATTACATCACTGCATAACTACCTAACTACTGAGAATCAAGGCCCAGCCAAGTTGAGACAGTTATTTTGGGGGCCACACAATCCATAATACCTTCTTTTCCCAGCTCCCACAAAGGAATCCCACAGACTGCTGATCCTCCAGCATCCTGCAACTGCATCTTCCTCTCCACTCTCAGCCACTGCCCAAGGGCCACAGCTCCTATTACTGCTCAGTGCCGTCAAGTTGGTTCCGACTCACAGTGACCCTGTATAAGGTTTCTGAGGAGCAGCTAGTGGGTTTGAACTACTGACCTTGTGATTCACAGTCCAGTGCTGATCCTACAGCACCACACCATAAATCCACAGCTCCTATAACTTGACGCCAATCAGTCTGCACCTCCCTGTACCCTAACCCCACCCTGCACCCTCACTAGTGTCACTTTTCTGACACACGTGCCACCCCCAAACCCTGAGCACACATCACCAGTGGTATTAAGGCTAAAGTTTCCAGCATGGTACTCCAGGCCTTCAGAACCAGAAAATCCCAGTCCTCACAATGAGCAGTCTCTCCCCCATCTCTGCACACACTGCCACCTCCACCTGGATCCTTTGGGCCCCAAGTTATGGCCACAGTGGGAAACCAAGCTCTCTAAGACACGGGTATTCGTACTCAGTTCCTCTTTCTTCTGAGGCCCAGGGACAGAACATGATCAGTCTTTTGCCCAATTTATCTTGCATATGATTACTGTGGTGGCTGGCAGCCACCAAGTCAACCCTGACTCATGGTGGCCCCGTGAACAGAACAAAATTGCTGCCCGGTCCTGTGTCACCCCCATGTTGTTGCTATCAAGTGCCGCCCAGTTGGTTCTAACACCTAGAGACCCTGTATATGGTTTCCAAGTAGCAGCTGGTGGGTTTGAACCGCTGACCTTGCAGTTCAAACTGACCCTGCAGTCCAGTACTTACCTTACAGCACCACACCAGAACCCTGTGTCACCCCTATGATTGGTAGCAAATCAGAAGGATGGCCAGGCCTCCCTTCCTAGTCTTAGTCTAGAATTTCTGGTGAAATTCGTTCAGCCCCCTAGTACCATGAAAGCCTCTAGTGACAGACAGATTGTGGCTACACATGAAGTGCAACTAGCTGGGAGTTGAACCTGGGTCTTCCTCGTGGAAGGTGAGAATTCTGCCTGTGAGCTGAGGCTCAATAATCTTCACTGCTCGATGAATGAGGCACAGACTCGGTAATGGTAGAGTTACTGCTGTCATTATTTTTTCAGGGCCTTAACACATTAACCAAAAGTCCTACAGACTAATCTGCAACAAAATGAAACATCTATGCAGCTCCAGGAAGAACACTAAGTTCACAGCCCTGCTACCTCCATATAACAATTTTCTAAGATTGCCCGTTTTCTCTTCTTTTTTCACCCAGACACCAGCACTGACTCAAAATCCTAAAACCAGATACACACTGAGAAAGACTAAGCTGTCTTCTGGTTTGGGGGCAGGTAAGATAAGGCTTTCTGTTCCTGCAAAGATGTAGGGCCTTGGAAACCTATACAGGGTTGGAGTCAGAACCGACTCCAAGGCACTTAACAACAACAAGGTGCTGCTAACAGTTAATGTGCTTGGCTGCTAACCAAAAGGTTGGTGGTGCCAGTCTACCTAGAGGCACCAAGGAAGAAAGGCCTGGCAATGGACTTTCCAAAAAAGCAGCCACTGCAAACCCATGGAGCGGTTCTCCTCCGACACACACAAGGTCGCATGTGTGAGTTGGCACAAACTGTGATAGTAACTGCTGTCTTTGTTAAGGACCAGCTGAGCTGTTGCCCAGCTATCCAGGCCCAGGACCATGCTTCAGGGCACAAAAGTTCTCTGAATCTACTCCTCTTGTAATTCACATTCTCATTCAGCCCTGAGTTCCTGCATCTCTCTGGGGCTGAATTATAAAATAAATAATTTAATAATCATGAAAACACTCTGGTTTGTTGTGCTCTGTGCCAGACAGAACCACAGGTCGCTCCAACAGTTCGCTGGCGATTTCTTGGTGGCCACCAGCCCATGGGGAAGATATAAGTCCCACTGTTAGCAGCTAATGTGTGGTTTCCTTGAGCTGAAGAGATAGACCTGCTGGGTCACTGAGTCCATCTTCGTTCAGAAAACCTGGATCAAATTGCAGGGCTGGATGCAAGAATCAAGTCTACACTCTGAGACAAGGTCCAGCTTATGCAGAGCAAGAAAAAAAAAAAAAAATAGACCTCCAACTAGAAGAGGCGGATGAAAGGGCTGGCATCCACACCATAGCATCTCTGTCACTCCTTAATGAGATTGATTTTTCTTCCAGACTCCAGAGTAGCCACAGAGAAATTAATGACCGTGTTGGAACCGAACTGCGTGGTCCACACGCACTAGGAGGGAGGGCAGGAGGGTGGGGACAGTCAGGGTGCGGACGCCCTTGGGTAGTCCCCCTCAATGACTCAGAGAGGGTGGACTCCCAGCCAAGGTCACACAGCACAGTGCGGGGCTCTAACTGGGGCTTCTGCTGGCCCAAGTTGGGGGGAGTTCCAGGAAGGTGTCCTCTAGAAGAGAGATGTGTGGAGGAGGGGGATCCCCGTAGGTGGGAGTCTCCAGAAGAGGGCTATCTGAAGATGAGAGCCCCGGAGGAAAGCTGTCTGGATATGGAGGTCCCCAGAAGAGGGATGTCCAGATGAGAGATGCCTCTCAAGAAGAGGCCCTAGAAGAGGGCTCCCGGAGGAGGGGTCCCCACAGTGCAGACGTCCAGAGAAGGGATGTCTGAAGGAGGAATCCCAGAGGAGGGCTCGCCTCGCGACCCAGGGGCAGTGTCCACGCGGCGGACGCGGACCGACGCCCCTCAGCCCGCCTCCCGGGACTCCCGCCCGAGCCCGGTGCTGCCTGAGGCAGGTGTTCATCAGAGCCGGATAAGAGAGTTCGGGCCGCCGCCCCATCCCTAGCCCTCCTCGTCCGCGCAACCCTCACCTCACGTCGCCACCGCCACCACCGCCACCACAGCCACCGCCGCCCTACTACCCGCGGCTCTTTCGCGGCCCCCTCCGAGGCACCGCCCCCGGCACTGCAAGCACCGCCTCCGCGCTCTTCTCGCGAGAAGTCGTGGTCGGCTGCGGGGCCGAGGGGCCGACAGCACCCCCTCAGACGCGCTTGCGCCAACCACACCGCCCCGCCCCGCCAGCCCATGCCATGTGGCGCCGTATTTACGATCAGAGTGAGTCCCCGCCCAACAGCCCTACCCTCTTCCGGCAGCCAATCGTATTCTGAGGACTGAGCAATGACTCCGCCCCTAGCGTATCAACGAGGGCGTGGCGAAGTCCAAGGCACTGTCTGAATGCCCAGGATCCAGCGAACCGCAGGGACTGAGTGCCTGCTGTCTACCAGCGCGTTCACCAGCATTGGCTGATTTCCTGTTATAGGCGTAAGGATCACTTTTGGAGACAGCAGAGGGCAGGGATGCTGACCTGCCTGGCTCTGACTCGCTGTTACTTTGTTGAATGACAAGTTCTGGGTGATCTCCCAACCCCGAGATAGGAGGATGACACATCTTTCAACCTGAGGGAGCATCTCTCAGCACTATATCAGACTGTTGTGATTCATAAAGTTTCATAGGCTAGCTTTCAGAAGTAGACCACTAGGCCTTTCTTCTCAGTCTCTGGAAACTCTGTTGAAACCTGTCCCCCACGGATGAACCTGCTAGAGTTTCAAATGCAGGTGATGTCGTTTCCAGCCGCACAGCAACATGCAAGCCACCTGCTTATGCAGAGCAGGACAAAAAAAAATATGACAAGCAGCTACTAGCAGACAGGCAGCCCCCTCAATTTATGGAACCTCCATGTACAATGGGCAGGACCACTGTGACCCACAGGGTTTTGTTGTTGTTGTTGTTTAATATGTTATTGTGCTTTAGGTGGAGATTTACTCAGCAGTTTAGGTTCCCCTTCTACAGTTTCTATACAAGTTGTTCAGTGACACAGGTAACAGCGTTCTTTGCATCCTCATAAATTCTGGTTGTTCCATTTCTATTCATCTAGTTTCCCTGACCCTTTACAGTCTCATCTCTGTTTAAAAGTCATTGTTGACTGTTTGGGCTCATATCAGTGATTTTTTAAAAAGTAATACATGGGTGATACTACTTTGTGAGCCAGTTTGTTATTTGAATAAAAAGTGAACCTCAGAGATTAGTTTGGAACTGTTCAGGGTTTAAAGAATATCTCTGGCCAATGATCATGGGTGTCTTCCAGTCTCAACAAGCCCAGTAGGTTGTTTGGTTGTTTATTTATTTTAGTAATTTGAGGTTCTGTTCCACATTTCTCTCCCATTCTATCAGAACCCATCTATTGGAGCCCTGTCAGGTATCATCCAGTTCATCTGGTTGAGCCACAGGGTTTTCACTGATTGAGTTTTTTGGAAGTAGGTCTCCAGGCCTTTCTTCCTAGTCTGTCCAAGTCTGGAAGCTCTGCTGTAGTCTGTTCAGCATCCAAGACAAATGGCATTATGTCCTGATATATAGATAGGAAGCAGAGTCTCAGAGAAGTTCACCAGTAAGTCACAGAGTAAGAACCAGAATCCAGCTCATGAGTTCCAGCACCAGTGCATGCTGAGCAGCAGCTCAGTATCCTCCTGCATCCAGAGGATACGTGGAGACACCCCACAAATGGGAACCTTGCCTTTCATTTTCTGGACCCCAAAGACCCTTTGATCCAGTGGGCCCAGCTGGCTGCCCTTTGTAACAGCCACCTGGCTGGTGAGGACCCACTCTTGAGGGCCCTCAGTGGCTGTGCAGAGTGCAGCCTCGCCAGCTGACCATCGCCTGGCTCTCCCTCGAGGCTTCAGTTCAGTTATTGTGACATTGTCTGCCACCAGCTATAACAATTTCTGGTTTCACAACCACAGTTGGGACAGAGGAAAGAGAAGTAACTGTGACTTAGGCAAACTGTCAGGCAGTGTATATCAGCCACTGATAGAGGCAGCAGGAAATTCAGATGACCTCTGAGCCCTGGGTTATATGGCCCTGCCATCATGAGCATCAGAACCAAACCAAAACACCAAACCCACTGCCATCAAATTGATTCCAACATACAGGGACCCCTGCCTCATCTTTCTCCCACAGAGTAGCTAGTGGGTTTGAACTGCTGACCTTGTGGTTAGCAATCCAGTACTTCTCCTATAGTAGGATTAGACAAAAAAAAAAAAAAAAGAAGTATGAGAATTAGAAAGGCAACCGACCTTATTCACAGGTGTTGGGAGGTTCAAGGATGGGCACACAAACTCTCCTGATTAATCATGAACTAGTGCACATCACTCCACCCTGGTGTCAATGCAGTGCTTATGATTCAGATACCTGCAGTTTGGGATAGCAAGGCAGTGCAGGCTCCAGCCTTGGAGTCAGAACTGGTGGAATCCTAAGGCTGTTCCCCAGCAGCTGTGTGAGCTGGGGCCTCTGAACTTCAACATCAAATGATGACTCCCTACCTCGTATGGAAGAGTCCCTAGGTTAAAAGTATTACCAAAAGGTTGGAAGTCCAAGTTCCCCCAGAGGTGCCAGGGACGAAAGGCCTGGGGATCTACTTCCAAAGAGAGTAACCAGAGTTTAATATAAATAAAAGGATTAAAGAAGGGAGTCACAAAAGGAGAGGTGATATGTTGAGATTTTAAATAGCAAACACAACAAAAGCTGACAAGCAATTAAAAATTGCACACCGTCTGTCACGATACCCCTTCCAGTATAAAAACAGGAAAATTTTACTTGGGCTTTAATATGATGTCTAAAAATATCAACAGAGTCCTGGTGTGGCGCTGCAGGAGAACGTGCTGGACTGCAAAGTCAGTTTGAGCCTCAAGGTCAGCGGTTCAAACCCATCAGCTGCTCCTCAGAAACTCTATACAGGGTCACTATGAGTTGGAACGAATTTGATGATACTTAACAACCACAATCATATCAAGACTGTAAAATATTTAAGCCTAAAAATAAAATATAACTTCTCAACACTAAAGGAAGGAGCCCTAAGTGGCACAATGGTTAAAGCACTTGGTTGCTACTAAAAAGTCAGTAGTTTGAACCTACTAGCTGCTCCACAAGAGAAGGATGTAACAGTCTACTTCTCTAAAGATGGACAGCCTCGGAAGCCCCATGGGCAGCAAGTTCTACTCTGTCCTATATTGCCACTACAAGTTGGAATGGACTCAGACTCATAGTAACAACGACCACAAAAGGCAATAAGGTCACTTTGTTGGCTGATAATTAAAAGGGAGCTGTGGGTTAACTATAACGAGGTGGTGCTGTGGGTTAAACGCTGGGCTCTTTACCATGAGGATGGCAGTTCAAACCCACAGCTGCTCTGTGAGCAAAAGATGAAGCTGTCTGCTCCCATAAAGATTTACAGTCTTGGAAACCCTATATTGTGTTGCTGTGAGTTGGAACTGACTTGATAGCAGTGGATTTGGTTTGGGGTTTGGGGACTACTTGAAAGGTTAGAGGTTCAAGTCCACCCACAGGCACCTCAGAAGATAGAACTGGTGATCGATTTTTTAAACTGAGCCATTAAAAACCCTGTGGAGGCTGTGTGATGATGACCAGGGGGCAGGCCTATTGGGTATACCCTTTGGTTGATTGAGGATGCATGGAGGGGATTGTAACCATGGCAATGTAAACGATATACGATAGGATGAATGTAAAGCTAATGTTCTCCCGTGTAAACTATCACATAATTTACAATTAAAAAAAACAAAAACCCCATGGAGCACAGTTCTATTCAGACACACGTGGGGGAGCCATAAGTCGGAGATGATATCATGGCATCTGCTAGCCTCATGTGGGTGTTTCAATATTAGGAGGGGGTGTATGCAAACTGTCGGGGATCAGGGAGGAGGCAATTCAGTGATCTAAGCAGAGATGATGGTGTTGGGATTTAATGGTGGCAGGAGGGAGATACAGAGGTAGGGACTGATATGAGAGCAATTCTAGAGGCAAAATTGATGAAGGGTTGTGGGAAGAGGGAAGTCAAGGTGATACCTGGTCCCTGGGTAGGTATCTGAGTGGGTGGTGGTACCAATGTGGAGGAGAGGCAGCGTTCAGGCTCTTCAACAGCATTCAATATCTCGAACATGGCATGGTACACTCAGAGGCGCCTGCAGGACATGGATCCTGGTGGGAGACTGACAGTTGGGTGTTCTCATTGCTGCTTCAGGGGAGAATCCAGGTCAAGACATCATCAGAGCAACTGAAGTGATCTAAGTAGATGGGGTCACCCAGGGAACCCTCCAAGCCTAATGCCTGTGTTTCTCCCCACCCCTCTACCTCCTCCACTTCTCTCTCCTAGTTGGCAGAGTGAACACAGAGGCCTGAGGCAGCATCTCATCTGCAGGCAGCAAAAGCCCCCAAGGTGGTATACTGGGTTGGCCTACAAAGAACCATAGACTGAACCACAGGCTGGAGCCTCAAGGGGGTGTACTGGGTCTGCTGTACAAAGAACCACAGCCAGAACCACAGGCTGAAACATCAGAAACTTGTCTCATAGCTCTGGAGGCTGAAGTCAGAACTCAAGTTGTCAGCAGGGTTGGCCCCTTCTTGAATCTCTAGGGAAGAACCCTTGCTTCTTCTAGCTTCTGGGGAGGGTCAGCGAGCGATCCTTGGTGTTCCTCGGCTTGCAGACACACAACTCCAGATCTCTGTCTCTGAGTGGCTGCCTGTTTCTCCATGTCTCTTCTCTTCTTATAAGGACCCACTCTACCCCAGTGTCATCTCATGTTAACCTGATGACATCCTCAAAGGTCCATTTCCATACAAGGTCACATTCACAAATGAAGGGTTAGGACTTCAGCATATCTTTTTGGGGGACACAATTCAATTCACAGCAGGGAGGAACCCTGGCTCCCTGATTCCATGTGCTAAAAGCTGGGGCCAGGGAAAGACATGAACAAAAGTCACAAAGCTCTGGAAGGAAGCAACTGGACCCATTGAACCTAAATCCTGATGCATCTACAACAGGGCTTCTAAATAGTTCAGTCATTGCCGTGGTAACCAAGGGCCAGGTACAGGTTGCACACCACTTGTAAAGATTAACAGTCTCAGAAACTCTGTACAGGGCTGCTATGAGTCAGAACAGACTCATCAGCACTTAACAACTACAATAAACAAATAGTATGGTCCACTCAAAGATGGGGACCACGTGTGACACTTTGGATGTGCTTTGTTCTCCAGAGTCCTACCAATCGTGTTGTGCTCCAAAAGCCCTGCTGCAGACCTCCCTCCTGAAAGTTTCCTGAACCCACCCAGGAGATTGCATTATTGGCAGGACTCTGGAAAGCAACACACACTCAGAGAGGCGAGATTGGCTGCCATCTTTGAGTGGGGCACAGCTGTTTGTTTCCTTGCTGTTGCTGTTAAGTGCCATCGAATCAGTTCCGACCCATAGCGACCCTGTCTAGGGTTTCCGAGGAGCAGCTGGTGAGTTTGAACTGCCGACCTTACGGTTCAAACGACTCTGCAGTCTGGCGCATTAACCCACAGCGCCACACCAGGTCTCCTACTTGGGTCAAAATACCACAGCCAGCAGATGTGGCTGCTGTGCAGTGAGCACGAGTCCCTTGTTTATGAAGGAAATGACCAGCTCTGTTTTGAATTGGCTTGAAACCCTGGTCTACACATGACTAATCTCTGCAGAAATATTCCAGAAAGGGCCAGGGAGTTTAGGGAAGGAGTTGAGGCAATCCCTTCTCACAAAGGAGTTCCAAATTGGGGTGCTCACTCCTTCTGAGGCAGCCCTCTTGGCCACTCAGACTTTTGCATCCTCTCCAGAGAAACACAAGTTCTCTCCACTCTTTTCCATATGACTTTCTTCCCTTGCTCTTCTTGAGTCTGCTCCACACATCTCTCTCCTTGTGAGACAAAGCCTTGGAACCACCTCCACCCACCATTCTCCTCATGAAGACCCAGGAGGCATCTCAACAATGAAGACAGACAACCCAGTGGAGAAATGCCAAAGGACTTGAATAGCCTTTTTTCCAAAGAAGAGGAGAGGCCTAAAAGACCAACACGTTCACATTGAAAACAGGCTCAACACCTTTAGTCTTTGTATGGTAGTGTGCCATGGAGTTGGTTCCAACTCATAGCAACCCTGTATAGGGGTTCCAAGGCTGTAAATCTTTATGGGAGCAGAAAGTCTCATCTTTCTACCATGGAAACACTGTGGTTTTGAACTGCTGACCTTGAGGTTAGCAGCTCAACTCATAATCACTACGCTGGAAACGTAAATCAAAACCACAGTGTGGTACTACCTCATTCCCACTAGGATGGTCATTGTGAGGGAAATGGGAAACAGCCAGTGTCGGTGAGGATGTGGAGAAGGTGAAACCTGCATGCAGCCACTTTGGAAAATAGCTTGGCAGTTCTTCCAAAAGTTAAAGATAGAATTACCATTATGACCCAGCAATTCCATTCCTGGGTAGATCAACAAAAGAAATGAAAGGAGGGATTTAGACAGACGTGTGATTTTAGCAACGTTCACTGAGCCCAAAGATGGAAACACCCCAAGTGTCTATCAATAGATGAATGGATAAACACAATATGGTCCATCCATACAATGGAATACAACTCAGCCAGAAAGAGAAAAGACATCCTGGTGCTTGCTACCACATGGATGCACTTCGAAAATAATGCTGTTGCTGTTTTTAAGTGCCGTTAAGTCGGTTCTGACTCATAGTGACCCTGTATAGGGTTTCTGAGGAGCGACTGATGGGTTTGAACTGCCGACCTTGCGGCCGAGTGCATTATCCTGCAGTGCCACACCAGGACTTCAAATATTTTGAGTGAAATAAGAACCAAACCAAATGCACTGCCATAGAGCCTATTACGACTCAGCAATCCTATACAGGGTTTCTGAGACTGTAAATCTTCATGGGAGCAGACAGCTTCATCTTTCTCCTGCAGAACATCTGGTGGGTTTGAACCTCTGACATTGCAGCCCAGCACTTACTCTACAGTGTCACCAGGGATATAAAACAGTCACAAAAGGACAACAGTGTAGGATGTCACTTGTGTGAAATGTCTAGAACAGGCAAACGTCTAGAGACCAAAGTTTATTAGTGGATACCAAGAGGAGGGGAGGTGGGCGCGAAAGGGGGAGTTCCTGCTTCAGGGCACTGTGTGAAGGGCCATGGAATCATTTGGAAACTGATAGTGATGACGGTTACACATGCTGAATGGGATGTGTCACTGAGTTGTCCGTGTGAAAATGATTGAAAGGCAACTGCTTTGTAATCTATAGTAGTGGTGGTGGTGGCCGTGTGCTGATAAAGACCCTGCGGCTGTAAATCTTTATGGGATCAGAAAGCCTCAATTGTCTTCCATTATAATGAATATTCTACCACAATAAAAAAAAAATAGAGAGAAAGACGACAACCCCAGAGGGACAAGGTGGCTTCAATAACTGAGCTTTGCAGATACTGTATCTTTACACACAGACGGCCTGTGGGCACCCTTCTTGGAGTGAGTCCGTTGGTGCCTTTTCTTCAACAATGTTCTCACTTCATGTCTCAAGACACTTCATGCTTTTCCATCATGCTGAGGCACACTTCATAGACGACACTCTCGTGCCCACATCGCTTTGATCTGCCCTGGGAAACCAGGGCATTCATGTGTGACTTGCCATGGGCTGGAATTGAACCTGCAACATCTCCGAGGTCTGCTGGGAGTCTGTCTTCTATGGAAGCAGGTCTGGCAACAGGGTGAGGCTGGGCTGTATCTGCTGTGCCATTTGGACACCGTGGCCTCTTGTGGAACACCCTCCTATGCTTGCCCGAGGTCAAGGAACTGTGTCCTGCATAGGCCAAATGAGCACCTCCCTGGCCCACCCACACCTGCAGGCAGACCACCCAGAGAACCACAGAGATGGTCTCTTCCAGCCATGGTCCTACTGGGGCTCAGCCCAACGCTAAAGGTGGGTCCCTGCACAACCCAAGTGCCTCTCTCACTAGCGGCCTGAGAGAGGGCCAGGCAAAGGTGCTGGTGTGCCAACTACAGCAGCTGCCCAAACCATAGCCTGACAAGGTACTGCCCCATCTCTCCACAGGATGGCGCTCATCATTTTCCTATTTGCTAACTTGATGAGACAATGACAGAAAGGTGTGCAATCCTGGTTTCCAGGCTGGTTCTGGGTACTGGCAAGTGTTTCTTGTTTCCAATCAGCAGGAACACTTCCTGCTGTGGTCTTGGGCTATGAGGACAGCTGTTACAACACAGTGGGGGTGGTCATAAGAACAGCAGAGCTTGCTCCTCCTACCCTCACACTGGCCCTAGGGGCGGGCCTGCTGTACATGGAGAGGAGACCAGGCTGGCCAAGGCTTAGGGCTCCTTGGTCACCCACAACAGCGTCTGAGTTTGCACTGGCAGTGAAGGGGGGTTGTCCCACCCCACAGAGTATATCCTCAGAGCAGAGACAAAGGGATGGAGGGATCTGGGAAACATGGCCACAGCTGGGATGACCACACTGCCCACAGGCCCTTCTTCTGAAGGTAGGTTCTCTCTGTCAAGCCCCTCCTGGAGTTCATGATCTGAGTGCGCTCTGGGGACCACTCGGCCTTCTCCCACCGGCCCCCTTCTAGCTGCCATCTTTACTTCGGTCTCCGTGGCCTCTTGGCGCTGCTTCCCTGGTGTTTTCGGGGGTTACTGGGGGGCAGTGGGCTGTGTCGCCGACCTCCACTGTCTATGGACCCTGCAGGGGGAGGGAGGAATAGACTTTAGTCTGTGGTCAAGATAAGGTCAGACATAGCCAGAGTCCTAGCCTGGGTTCCCGCGTCTTATTTGACTACCTGGATGCAGGTGGGGACCCATATCCCTGACCTCCAGTCAGGCATACCCAGTGCCACTTCACCTCCCAGCAAGGGGCATTCCACCCTCAGCCACCATCTCCATTAGGGCTGGATGCACCCATAGATCTGCCCATGGGGGACCCTCGGTGGGAAGAAGGAGCGTTCCCATGCCTCCTGTTTAAAGATGTGTGTGTTACTCTGCTTGCTCTGGTTGGGCGCTACAGGCCAAGAACATAGCCTTGGAGACCCTAAGATGCCTAAGGACTCTTAGGAAAAGGGGCATGACAATGAACAGCTCTCAACCCTCTCTGAAACTGCAACATGGGTTCAAGGCACAGCCATAGTCACCCATCTAGGATGACTGTTGTTGTTGTTGTTAAGTGCCGTCGAGTCGGTTCCGACCCATAGCGACCCTGTACAGGGTTTCCGAGGGTGTAAATCCTTATGGGAGTAGAAAGCCTCATCTTTCTCCCACGGAGCGGCTGGTAGTTTCGAACCGCTGACCTTAAGGTTCGCAGCCCGATTCGTAACCACTACGCTACCAGAGCTCCTTATCTAGGATGACTATTATCAGAAAAATGGAAAATAGCAAGTGTGGGCGAGAATGTGGAGTAGCTAGAACCCACGTATACTGCAGATGGGAATGGGAAATGGTGCAATCGCTGTGGAAAACAGGGTGGTGATTCCTCAAAGTCCAGCAAATGTCTTGCAATATATATTTTCATATTTCTATATTTCACATGTACACAGGTGCTTCAGAAAATTCGTGGGAAGATGGAAAGACCATGGAATTTTTCCACAAGCTTTATGAAGCCCCCTCATACAATGATCCAGAAATTCCACTCCTACATGTCGACCCCAACGACCTGAAAGCAGGGCCTCAGAGTGTGTGCACCACAGCATCATTGACAACCCAAGTGATCATCAACGGTCTTGAAGAGAAATGAAGTCTGATGCCTGCTTCAATGCTGACCACATGGTGCGGAGTGAGGTAAGGTAGGCACAAAAGGACAAATACAGGTGGGTTCCCTTTGGAACTACCACCATAACACCAGGTTCACAATCAAGAGAGTCACATGCATGTTTGGGTTTTTCCCAGCGCATGGAATAGTGATGTTACACTTGGTTGTTGTCTATGACACAGGCAGTAATACTGTAAAGAGGTTTGAAATCTTGTGCAAAAGACTGAAATGGGACAGACAGGAAGTGAGTGTGCGTTGCGGGAAAAATGGTACCAATAGACTACTTGATGCAGGGCTGCCACAGACCTCCCATGAGTGAAAAAGGCAGTATCTTGGGTGTGCCCACACCGTTTGGTCTCACTCCCTTCACATTTCTACAAATGGCAGACAGTAAGTTAGAGGGCACCAGGTGTGGAGGTATAGTTATACTGCTGCCATTGCCCAGACTCGTCCCCAGCAGTGAGGGTGCGCTAGGTGAGGAGAAGACGTTGAGGTGACACAAGCATTGCTGTCCCTTCCCCTTCTTCCCATGAAGGATGCCCTGAGCACCTAGGAAGCCAGCAGGTGGGAGCTGCAGGCCTTCTCAGGGAGAAGAGGAGCAGACACCGACCTCGGATATCCCGGGGGAGAAGAGGTGCCCTGCTCGGGGCTGTGTTGCCCTGCCACATGGCGCTGGGGAAGGTGAAGCTGACCTCAGGCACATGGAGCGTGCTCTCATCTGAAAAATTAGACCAAAGAGAAAACAATTATTACCGTGAAAAATTGTCCAGGGAGTCCAGGATAAAGCCAAATAAGGAATCATAGATGTGATGTATCGAGTCCCTACTGCATGTGGTGCTCTTTAATAAGGGGTCACCCTTGGAGTCTGGAAATCCACTCACCCCACAGCTTACCTATCAGCCAAACAACAGACAGGTCTATAAAGGGAACAACAACATAAGGGAAGTATGCACACTGTGGAATGGTGAGCCATCTGAGATGTAAAGGGCAGCATTGACGCCAGGACAAAGTCCAGAAGGGTTGGGAAAGGAGGAATTGGGCTAAGTGATGCTACATTGTGAGGACTGCAACCAATAACATGAAACAAAGTGAGTATGAATCGTTGAATGGAAAACTGATCTGCTCTGTAAACCTTCACCCGTTTCACAACAAAAAGTTCAAAATAAAATAAGTTGTCTTCTTTATACTCCTTGCAGCCCTGTGAGGGAAATTTGGTTTATGTGAAAGCTGTGCTTTCCGGAACACTCCACCTCCTTTCGTTTTTGGTTTCCGTTTCCTTCCCAGCAGCTGTGTTCTTCTCTTCCTTCTTTCTTGTTTCTATCTTGCTTCAAGCTGGTCAACACATGGCAACAAAGTGAGAGGATTGTCTGGGTTTACTGAGTCAGGTTTAACTCCATTTAACAGAAGAGGAAGGGAGGGGGCAGTTGGTAGGGAGAGAAGTGAATCTTTTCCCCAGATGCCATCAGAAAGTCACTTCCTCATGTTTGCACCCACCTGACCACCGCTGAGGAACCTGTCAGCTGCCCCACAAAAGTAACATCACTCCTACACACCCTTGCTTAGCCTGCTTTCTCCTTTTCCAACATGTTCCAGCTACCTGATATGCAAAAGTACAGCTACTAGGGTTCAGTCATACATGCACAGATTTATTCCAAACAAAGCACGTCTAAACATGTCTCTGCAATCAGTGGTAGAAACACAGGGAGGAAGTAGGATGTGTGATGTTACATTGTGAGGACTGCAATCAATGAGATGAAACAGAGTGTGTATGAATTGTTGAGTGGAAAACTGATCAGATCTATAACACAATAAGAAGTTTCCACACAAAAAAATTGTTTTTTAAAAAAATGGAAGACCTCACTGAGAAGGGTTGGAAGTTGAGTCCAGGTCTGAAGGAGCCATGTGTTTTCCTGTTGGAGCAATGGGACATTCCCATTTTCTATGCACTCTGATGCCCCAGTTTCCTTAACAAAAGGGTGTGGATCAACCAGGCCCCATGGGGGAGTGGGTCTGGTCTGTGAGGTTCCGTTGAAAACCTCTTCTCTACACATGAACATTCTGAGCTACTTTGGATGCTAGGTAGCTTGTCATTAGGGGAACAGAGTTCTTGACTCAAAAGAATTTAACTGCTGTGTAAACAGAATGTGTGAACAAGTTTTGCTCTCCTTGGATAAGAATTAGGGAAAATCAATTTCCTGATGTACCCCAGAGGGGACTGAGAACAAACACATAGGGGAAGTGTGTGTGGACTTTGGAGGCAGGCTGACCTGGGCTGCCAACGTACAGGTAGGTATGTGTGTGACCCTGGGCCAGTTCCTTTCACCTCTGCTTCTTGTTTGCTCTTTCTGTGAACTGGGCACCTATTGGAGTGTGTGGTACAATGAGTGACTTCATATGACCCTTTTAGTCATGATCTCATAACTGTAGAGTTAGGTTATGCAAATAATGTGCTTATGGCCTAACAAGGGGATTGCATAGCTTGTTAATAATGCAAATAAAGTGCATAGAACCCTTGTGGGGGTGGGAGCATGCAACTAAGGTGTATAGAATCCTAATGAAGAGACTGGTCAGTTTTGCTATTCTGCTAGGGATGGAAGGGAGAGGGGACTTCACTACCACCAAGAAAGAAGAGCCAGGAATGGAGCATGACCTTTGGACCCATGTGCTGAGAACCGCCTAGACCCAGGAGAGAGCAGTAACATAAGAGACAGAGAGAAGTGGTAGCCAGAAGCGCACACAGGGCTCTGTCCTCCTTGGGCAGGTATTACAAAGCTCTCTTAGCTCTGTCAATAAGTACCCGGAGGCACCTGACTCTACCAGCAAGTCTCTTGGCCAAAGTCTCCCAGCTCTCTCGCTCTATAGGCCAAAATGCCCACTGCAACATTTCACTCAAGTCTTTTGGTTCTGCTGCTGTTTCTCTGCCCCACTTCACATCGTCTTTCATGTTACAGCTCCCTCCTGGTTCTAGATGATTCTCGGCACAGGGTTTCCACTGACCTATTTCTGAAAGTAGATCACCAGATCCTTCTTTTCATCCTGGCTTAGTCTGGAAGTTCTGCTGAAACCTATCCACCACGGGTGACCCTGCTGGCATTTAAACTACCAGTGGTATAGCTTCCAGCATCACAGCAACACACAAGCCACCAGATGATAACACACTGATACACAGGTTGTTGTTGTTGTTGTTAGGTGCCATCGAGTCAGAACTGACTCATAGCGACCCCATGCACAGCAGAACAAAACAATGTCTGATCCTGGGCCAACCTCACTACCACTGCCACACTTGGCACCATCAATGCTGCCACTTGACCAATCCATCTCGTTGGGGATTTTTCTCTGACCCTCCATCTTACCAAGTATGATATCCTTCTCCAACAACTGTTCCCTCCTGACAATATGTCCAAAGTATGAGAGACGAAGTTTGGCCATCTTGGCCTCTAAGATGCACTCTGGCTGCACTTCTTCCAAAACAGATCTATTGGTTCTTTTGGCAGTCCATGGCACTTTTAGTATTCTCCTCCAACACCATAATTCAAAGGCATCACAGGTGGTGGTTAACATTTTAGTGAATGAATAGATACATCTATTTGGAGATTGCTGGGCCCACACTGTGCCAACCCTCCACACACTTTATTTCATGGGTGTGTCACATTCTCCCCAGCCTCACCTCAGATAGGTGCTGACAATAACATCTCTTCCAAGTGAGGGATCTCTCCCTGCCCACCAGCTAGGGGGAGAGCTGCTGACCGGACCCAGCTCCCTGCACTTCAAAGCTTCCACTGCTATTGCTCCAGTATCTGTGCCTCTGTTTATTCCATTTTTATGAGCATATTATCAGAAAAAAAAAATTTTTTTAATTAAAACTTTAGAGAGCCGGAAAGCCCATAAGGAAAGCACATTTTAAGTACCTCTTATGGGCCTGTGTTTATGCCCAGCAATTACAGTACCATACTGAGAAATCAGATAAAGCTGAATTTTGGAGTCAAGATCAAAGGTTTTGGAGAAGTCTTTAAAGTCATTTCTATGAAATTAGTTTGTGCCAGGAAGCCCGCCAACCATCAAGGCAGAGCATGGGTGTATATGCTGCTTCTATTATGCGTCCAATATTTGTCAAGATCCCGGAAGATGTGCTGAGGAGCTCTGGTGGTGCAGTGGTCAAGCACTTGGTTGCTAACTGAAAGGTCGGCAGTTCAAACCCAACTAGCAGCTCTGCAGGAGAAAATACCCAGTGATCTGCTCCCATAAAGATGACAGCCTAGTCTACTCTGTCACAGGGTCGTTCATGAGTCAAAATCAACTTGACAGCACCCAACAACATCAGTTATATAATCAGCTATGTAAGCTGATTAGATGAGCTATGAAGCTTTGGTGGCACCATAGAATAAGCACTGGACAGCTAACTGCAAGGCCAACAGTTCAAACCCACTGGCTGCTCTTTGGGAGAAAGATGAAGTTTTCAGCACCTGTAATTTACAGTCTTGGAAACCCCATACTGGGTCGCTAAGAGTTGGAATTGATTTGATGGCACTGAATTTGGTTTTGGGGGTTTATGGAGGTCAGTGTTCACAGCCATTTCTGGTCAAGGACTAGCTGGCTTGGGTTTGTCATGCTTTTTTCCCTCCAATTTAGACTCCTGGTGTGGAGCTGTAGGATCAGCATTGGACTGCAAACCACAAGGTCGGTGGTTCAAACCTACCAGCTGTTACTTGGAAACTCTGTACAGGGCTGCTATGGGTCAGAATTTACGTGACAGCACTTAACAATAATAACATAAGTACTTTTATAAAGTGTAGTAAGAATGAACCATTAGAAAAAATATGTTGAAATTAAAAGTTAAAAAGCATACAAATACCATTGGTCATGAGGTACTGTCAATTTGTCACACTCTAATACTTGTTTCTGGCATGACATAGTATGGTAAGCACTGGACTGCTAGCAGCAAGACAGGTGGTTCACAGATTAAGTGCTTGGTGGTGGTGGTGTACCGTCAAATTGTTTCTGACTCATAGTGACCCTGTATAGGGCTTCCAAGACTGAAAAGTTTACAGGAGCAGAAAGCCTCATCTTTTTCCAGTAGAGTAGCTGGTAGATTTGAACTTCTGACTTTGTGGTTAGCAGCCTAGCCTGTAATGCACTATGCTACCAGAGCTCCTTGATTAAGTGCTTATTATTGTTATTAAGTGCCATCGAGTCTGTTCTGACTCATAGCGACCCTGTGTAGGGCTTCTGAGGAGCAGCTGGTGGATTTGAACTGCCAACCCTGCAGTTTGCAGCTGCTAACGAAAAGGTTGAATGCACCCAGCTGTTCTGCAGGAGAGAGGTATGACAATTGGCAATCATGTGAACCTTTGGCCATCTATTTGGTACCATGTGTTTTGTACTTTTGTGCCTTTTTTGGGGGGGCGTTGATTTTGCTGTTTACAAGCATAGAGCTAAGTGCTGTCTAAAATTCCTAAGCACAAGAAGGCTACAATGAGCTTTATGGAGAAAACTCACCTGCTAGGTGAACTTCGTCCAGGCGTGAGTTATATAGTGCTGTTGGCAAATTCAACATTCATGAATCAGCTACAGATATTGAGTGTCTTTAAACATGTAAAACAAGATTATGCATTGACTGGCTGATGAAGATGCTATGGGCAAAGGCTCACAGGAAACTTAGTTGGATTTCCTCAGGAGTAGTGGTTTGGGATTTGCAAATTGTGATAGTCAAGGTTTTGTGTCAAGTTGGCTGGGCCTGAATTCTCAGTAGTTTGATAGTTAAGATGTAGTAATCTCCCATGATGAGATCTAATATAATCACCCTCATGATGTGATCTGATGTGATCATCCCTTATCTGATGTTATTATCATATGTGTTGAAAAGCCTCACTTCTATGATGTGAATGAAGGAGCCATGGTAGTGTAGTGGATTACAAGCTGGGCTGCTAACTGCTACATTAGTATTTTGAATCTACCAGTCACTCCAAGAAAGAAAGATGAAGCTTTCTGCTCCCATTAAGATGTCCAGCCTCAGAAACCCTACGTAGGGTCGTTATGAGTTGGAGCTGACTTGGTAGCTCACAGTCACCACCACCACCATCATGATGTTAATGAGGACAGATGCAATATACAGGACTAGGTTGTATCATGAGTCAGTCTCTTTTGAGATATAAAAGAGATTAAACAGAAAAGCAGAGCTCAGAGGAACCTACTACCACCAAGAAAGAAGAGGCAGGAGTGGAGTGCATCCTTTGAAGTTGGGTCCCTGCACTGTGAAGCTCCTAGATCCAGGGCAAGATCAATGTCATGATGCACAGAGATCAACAAGGAACGCTGGACCTACAGATGCTGAAAGGTGACCAAGCCCTTTCTCCAGACCTGACAGAAAGAGACAGCCTTTCCTTAGTGCTGGCACTCCAAATTTGGACTACCAGCCTCCTAAACAGTGAGAGAATCAATTTCTGTGTTTGTTAATGACACCCACTTTTGGTATTTCTGTTATAGCAGCACCAGCGTACTGAGGCACTAATTTAAGGGTTTTGGAAACTTAAGAGAACACAACGACCTAAAATACCAAGCTTTGACTATATTACTTGTGTAATAGCAACAGTTGCAGGAGGCAGGATTCAGTCTCACACTGAAGCAGGCCAAGATTTGGGGCCAGTGAGACATACTGGATCTGCACACTTATCAGTGTTATCTTAAACCCTATCAGGGTGTCAGGGACCCTTGGTGGTGTAAATGGTTTGTGCTCGAGAATTAACCCAAAGGTGGGAGTTTCAAACCCACCCAGGGGCACCTGGTAAGAGAGGCCTAACCACCTGCTTCTGAAAGATCATGGCCTTGAAAATCCCACAGAGCTCCGTTTTGGTCTGCACACAGGATTCACTAGGAGCAGAAATGAGCTTGATGGCAACAGGTTTATTTCTGTTTGTTTGTTGTTTGTGGGGATAGGATGCCAGGCAGGCCAGAAGTCAAACTGAACCTGCAAATACCTCTTTTCACAACACCTGTGGCCTCGGAACGCACTCACACCTGGGGAGAACAACTGACAACAGCTCAAACTATCACAAGTTCCAAGGACTTCGAATCACAAAGAGGAACAGAGTTTTATTATGCAGATAACAACTGGCTTATAAAGTAGAGAACATCATCTGTGAGGAAAGAGCTCTTTTGGGAAACAGCATGTATATGAGTCCAAAGGAGCCCTAGTGGTCCAGTGTCTAACTGCTCATCTGCGAACCAACAGGTCAGTAGTTTGAACCCACCACAGAGCAGTGAGCTACTTCCATTAATAGCCTCAGAGATCCTGTGGGCCAGTTCTCCTCTGTCCCACAGGGTCACAATGAGTTGGAATTGACTTGACACTAGTGGGTTTGGGGGTTTATATGAGACTAAAATGTCAATGATGACACTAAAGCAAAGATGAAAAAAAATCAGGGGACAGGGAAACTAGAAAATTGGAAATAGAGCAACCAGAAGGGGATGAATGACAAAGAAGATGTGTTGTGAAAGATATACACAATAGCATTGGATAATTTGTACTGAAATGATTAAATGAGAACCCGATTTGCTGTGTAAACTTCAGCCTGAAACACAATAGAATATTATTTTTAAGGGAAAGAAGGAACAAAACGAATATGCTATTTTCTTTTCTGAAACCCTGTACCTGTGTGGAGGCTGAGACTGGGTTTGATCTTGGTGGCTGCAGGGACGGCTGGGAAAAAGCAACTTCCAGACTTGGATGGCTGAGTGAGGAGTGTGGAGGGAGGCTGACTCTCGGCCAGATGCTCCCCAGAGGAGGGCGGAAGTTTCTCTATTGCCTGCAGGGAGAAATCACAAGGTAGGTTGGGGCAGGAGGTGCAGGTGTTGACAGGAAGAAACTTGAAGTTCATTTTGAGCTAAAGCCCTGTACTGATTCAATGCCAACTGTGTGCCAGGGACTATGGTAGGTAAAGGGGAACCCACAGTGGCCAAGCAGATAGAATTGTTCTAACCTTCTCCTCCAAGCCCCAGTGAATGAACACATACTCTCCCAGCTCTTTGTCCTTCTCTCCTGTTAGATATTGAATTGTGTTCCCTGCAAAATATGTATAAGCTTGGATGGACCATGATTCTCAGTGTGATAATTATACTCCATTTGTGAGTAATTAAAAAAACCATCCTGGGTTTTTTACACCCTCACCTGTATGGTATTCACAAGGCAGGCTGCAATCACAGGATTAGGTTGTATCTTCAGATAAAAAAGGATTATACAAGTGAGCAGAAATCAGAGGGACTACTGCCACCAAGAAGGAAGAGCCAAGAGCAGAGAATGTCCTTCAGACCTGGGGTCCCTGCACTGAAAACCTCCTAGACCCTGGGGAAGAGTGATGTCAAGACACATGGAAATCTTCAAGGAATGCTGGGCTCATGGATGCTGAATGGAGACAAGAACTGTGAGCCAATTGAGAAAGAAAGCCTTCCCCTGGGGCCAGACATCTAGCCTCCTAAACTGTAAGCAAATACATCTCTGTTTATGAAAGCTACCCCTTTGTGGTGTCTTGGTGATAGCAGCACTAGAAAATGAAGACACTACTCCGATGGAGGGATTCTCATCTCCACTCGCTCTCAGACTCTGCTACTACCCTGATTTCTGCTCTACTGAACAAACCAGCAGACTGACTTCAGTTTTGACTCAGTAAACATCAGCAGGTGCTGAATGAAAGCTGTCAGGCCTCTGACCAAAGACAAAGACTACGTACAGCAACATTTGAACATAATTTACAATATAATGTTAAAGAAAAACAAAACTTTCACAAAACTCAGTTTCCACCTGGATTATACTGACATGAAACGTGTCTGCATGGGGTTTAAGGTTGAGCCAAATGGCAGACGCGTTCAACTGCTAAACCAAAGTTTGAAAGGTTGGAAGTTCGAGTCCACTTGAAATTGGAAGGTTCCTTGGAAGAAAAGTCTGGAAATCCACTTCTAAAAAATCTACTATCAAAAACCCTATGGAGCACAGTTCTACTTGGATACACTTGGCTCGCTATGAGTCGGAATTGACTCAGTGGCAACTGGTTGGTAGCTTTAGTTGGGATAGGAACTTGAAAACTCGAGTTAGGGTGCAGGGCTCTGTGTAGGCACTGGTCTTCTGCTTACATCTTGTTTATGTCTAGGACTGTGCTGTGGTCCTTGTAAACCAAGCTGCTATTGAGTTGATTTTGACTCATGACAACCTCACGTGTGTCATGGTAGAGCTATGCTCCACAGGGTTTTTGATGGATGATATTTTAGAAGTAAACCACCAGGCCTTTCTTCCAAGGTGCCTCTGGGTGGACTTGAACCTCTAACCTTTCAGTTAGCAGCTGAAATGTTAGCACCCTCCAGGGGCTTCGTGTCCCTCATAAATATGTGCTGACCCCTGTCTGCTGTGGCTCCTCACCGGTTGCGTGCCCCAGGTGAGGGAGGGTGACCGCTTCTTCTGAGCCTTCCTTTCCATGGGGCTGTCCCGGCAGGGGCTGGCATGGGACCGCCTCCTGTCTCCCACTGGGCCAGGCTCTGGGGTGGCGCTGGGCTTCCGATTGCTGAAGTCGTGGGCTCCCTCCTCTGGGACGTGGCGTGGTGAGTGGCTGCAGCTGCCCTCCCGGTCCTGCGCCTTTGAGCGCCTGGTGGCTGCAATGAGGGCGATGCTCTTGGTGCTCACAGCTATCTCCTTCAGGGCCTGGGGGCTCAGGGTTGGGCCCCCAGCCTCAGCTGCTGTCCGTGGAGCACTTGGGTCCAGGCCAGCTGGCAAACGCAGTTTAGAGACCAGATCCTTGACCCTCAACGAGCTCGGTTTCTGCAGGAGATCAACAGGTGGTCACGAGGTTTTAGGGATGGGGGTCCCTGAGAATCATCCTGAGACTGTGACTGTAGTCAAGCATCCATGTGGTAGAGGAAAACAGGAAGTCAGTCTCCACTCCAGGTGACAGGTGCTTAACTCAGGGGTGCTGTGGGAGACTGTGTCTACTCAGGCCTCAAGGTCCTCCTGCCCAAGGGATTGGGGTCCCTACTCCTGCAAGCATTGATAAAGGCTTTCTTTGAAACTACCAGCTGATCTGTGAGAGAAAGATGAGGCTTTCTGCTCCTGTAAAGATTTACAGCCTTGGAAACCCTGTACAGGGTTGCTATGAGTCGGAATCGACTCCATAGCACATAACAACAACAGCTCAAACCCACTGCTGTTAAGTTGATACTGATGCATGGCGCCCCTGTGTGTGTCAGAGTAGAACTGTGCTCCACAGGGTTCTCAGTGGATGATTTTTCATAAGTGGATGATTTTTCATAAGTAGATTCCACTCATGGTGCCCCCGTGTGTGTCAGAGTAAAACTATGCTCCCCAGGGTTTTCAGTGGGTGGTTTTTCACAAGTGGATCCCATGAGTGTCAGAGTAGAACTGTGCTCCGCAGGGTTCTCAGTGGCTGTTGTTTCGGAAGTAGATCACCAACCTTTTCTTCCAAGACACCTCTGGGTGAACTTAAACCTCCATCCTTTCATTGAGGTAGACACACTCATTCCCAAATCACAGATGAGCAAACTAAGGCCCAGCACAGCCACCCCAGGGCCCATGACCCAGTAAGCAAGGTACACACCGGTCTACTGTGTCTTCCTGTCAATCTGCAGTGCACAGTGTCCCCATGTCCAGATGTGGTGAGGTCCATGTGAAGTTGTTTACCACAGACTAACAAGTCAATACAATGAGGCCTGAGTGGACGTTGCTCAGTGTAAGCTGGAGCGAGTCATGTGTACTGGTCAGCTGGGTCCTGCCCTGTGCACTGGCTTTGTAAGACAGCAAGTGGATTCCTCTCTATTTCCTGTGTCATTCTGTGTTGCTGTAGGGCACAGATTGCCATAGGCTCAGGAAGTGGTCACTATCATCTTTATGGCTGAAGGAGGGTTCTCCTTCCGGAACCCTGTGAAGCTTGATGGGCATCCCACCAGATGGCCCTGCTGCAGAAGGTGAGGGCACACACTCACCTCATGGATTGGTGGGGTCAGCAGGATGCGCAAGGACGATGGCGGGAGGAGAGAGTCCTGCTTCCCCAGTTTCTTCGAGGGTGTGGCTTTTGAGGACCTGTGGCCGTCGCTAAGAGTGGAACATAGAGCGTCAGTGGATGCAGGCCAGGCTGGGGCCGCTGAGTCCTGAGTCATAGTTATGGGGCAAACCAGGGCTGGAAACTCTGGCCTGGCCCACCAGCCTGGTCAGGGCGAATGGTCTTTGACTCTCGCCTCTGGTATGGGGTTGCTCTGGGCTCATACCCTCATTCTTTCAATGAATGGAGCTGGGTGTGCACTGGCTCATAGCAGACACACTCCTGCCCTCAATATGCCACACGGAGAGATGAGGAGAAGCAGACATCACGTAAGGTGGCAGACACACAGGTAACTGCAACCTGTGGCACATGTGGTAAAGACAGAGGATGGTATAAAGTAGCCCATGACAAAAAGGTGGGTGCAACCCAAGTGTCCCTCACTAGACGATGGATACACACAGTGCGGTCCATCCACACATTGGAGCATTACTCAGCCATAGGAAAAATGAAGCAGTCTTGATACCTGCTGCCCCTGGATAAACTAGGAAAATGTGATGTCGAGTGACAGATGTCAGACATGAAAGGACAAATGCTATCTGGTTATATGCATGGGAAGTGTCTAGAGTCAGCAAATGCATGGAAAACAGAGCTTATTACTGGTTACCAGGGGCTGGGAGGAGGGGGCATTTAATGGTCACGGAGCTTCTGCTAAAGGTGATGGAAAACTTGGGAACATCTAAGGGTGAGGGTGGAATCCAGGATGATGCACTGAACTGCAAGGTCAGTGGGTCAAACTCACCAGCCACTCCTTACAGTAATACAGGGTCACTATGAGTCAGAACCGACTCGATGGCACTTGACAACAACAAGGGTGAGGGTTAGATAACGTAGCAAACATAATTAATGTCACTGAAGTATACATGTGAAAATGGTTGAAATGGCAAACGTTATTTATTTATTTATTTTTACCTGTGTACCTGCTGCAACAAACCAATTAAGAGACAGAGAGAGAAGAACATGGGGTAGTGATGAGAAGGCAGAAGACTCTCTTAGACAGGGTAGCTGGGAAAGACTGTGCTGGGGAAGGGACATTCCAGTTAAAATCCATGGCAAAGGCTAGAGGAAGAATGTGTTCATCAGGACGTCAGCCTATACAAAGGCCTGGGGCAGTCAGCCAAGTCCAAGACACAGTAAGATGAGATGGGTGGAAACCATGTGTGTTGCCTGTGTGAGGGGAAAGGACCTCAGGCCACCCTTTGGCTCTGATTTCCAGGTTCCACAATTCTACTGTAAAAATGGCACAGTGTTTCCTGAGGCACCTGGCCAGTCTAGACATCAGTCACTATGTAAGAGCAAAGCATCAGTCATCACCTTGGGCTTGTAGCCTCTCAGCTACACATCGAGCAGCAATAACCCACCTCATGTAGTCAGGAAGTAGGGAGACTGGCGGTGGCTAGGGTGTGGACAGACAGTGAAGCACTTAATCAAGGGGAGATGGGGCACTTCGCTTTTACACACACACATGCAGTCATTACGGAAACAGCCCTAGCATGTCCTGTGACCCTAACAGCCCCAGAGTAACCCTTGAACACCACAGACAAATGTTCTGCAGGGTCTTCCCTGGACCCTGGTCTGAACACACCTTCTGTATAAGACATTTCAAACAAAGTTACAGAAATCTGGTACTTGGTAAGATATTAGATGGTTGTCAAGAAACACTACTGATTTTGATGGGAAATGTTAGGGATTGAACTGTGTTCCCTTCCCATACATACACTGGGTCATAACTCAGCATGATATCATTCTCCTTCCTTTTGTGATTTGATGTAATCATCCTTTATGTTGGTCATCCTCACAACACATGATGTGAATGAGGCAAGATTGTTGTTGTTAAGTGCTGACAAGTCTGTTCCAACTCATAGCACGCCTGTATAGGGTTTCTGAGACGTGACTGTTGAGTTTGAACCACCACTTTGTGGTTCAAATCAACCTTGCATTCTAGTGCCCATCCTACAGCACCATTAGAGGCAGTTCTGTTCATGAGGCCTGGTGTGGCACTGTGGGCTAATGCACAACATTGCAAAGTCAATTTGAACTGCAAGGTTGGTGGTTCAAGCTCACCAGCCACTCCTTAGAAACCTATACAGGGTTACTATGAGTTAGAACTGACAACAACATGTTCATGAGGCAGGAGTCAACCTACAGGATTAGATCCTATAGGATTAGATTGTGCCTTGAGTCAATCTCTTTTAAGATGTAAGAGAGATGAAAGAAATAAGGCTTTCTGCTCCAGCAAAAAGAATTAAAGCCTTGAAACCCTATCAGGGTCACCATGAGTCAGAACCAATTCCATGGAACTTAACAAAAACAAGAACAATAAAGATGTGAACAGAGATCAGAAAGACCTACTACCACCAAGAAAGAAGAATTAGGAGCAGAGTGTGACCTTTGGACCTGGAGTCTCTGTGCTGAGAACTTCCTAGACCCAGGGGAAGATTGATGCCAAGGACCGTCTCCCAAAGTGGATAGATAAAGAAAGCCTTCCCTTGTAGCTGTCCACTGAATTTGGACTTCTAGCCTCATAATCACCATTTGTCTGTCAGTTTGTCATACTGTGATGATTTGTGTGTTACTGTGATTCTGGAAGCTATGCCACAGGTATTTTAAAAACCAGCAGGGTCACCCAGGGTGGAATGGTTTCAGTTGAGCTTCCAGATGAAGACAGATTGGAGAAGAGCTGCCTCCTCAAAGTAGAATTGACTTTGATGATGCAAATGGAGTAAAGCCTTTGGGACCTTCATTTGCTGATGGGGCACAACTCAAAATGAAGAGAAACAGTTGTAAACATCCAATAATCAGAACATAGACTGTACAAAGTATGAATATTAGAAAATTAGAAATTGTCAAAGATGTCATAAACATCAATATCCTAGGCATTAGTGAGCTGAAATGGACTGGTATTGGCCATTTTGGATCTGTATGCTAGGAATGACAAATTGAAGTGGAATGGCATCACATTCATCATCAAAAAGAACATATCCAGGTCTGTCTTGAAGTACAACAGTGTGATACAATAATATCCATTCGTCTACAAGGAAGACCAATTAATACCACTACTATTCAAATTTATACACCAAGCACTAAAGCCAGTGATGATGAGAATGAAGAATTCTACCAAATTCTTCAGTCTGAAATTGATCAAACATGCAGTCAAGATGTACTGATAATTACTGGTGATTGGAATGCAAAGGTTGGAAACAAAGAGGAAGGATAAATAGTTGGAAAATATGTCCTTGGTGATAGAAACGATGCTGGAGATCGCATAATAGAATTTTGCAAGACAAATGACTTGCTCATTGCAAATATCTTTTTAAAACAACATAAAAACAACTATACACATGGACCTCACCAGATGGAATACACAATAATCAAATTGACTCTATTTTTGGAAAGAGACAGTGGGAAAATTCCGTATCATCAGCCAAAACAAGGCCAGGGCAGACTGTGGAATAGGCCATCAATTGCTCATATAAAAGTTCAGGCTGAAGCTGAAGAAAATGAAAACAAGTTCGCCAGAGCCAAAACATAACTTTGAATATATCCCACCTGGATTTAGAGATCATCTGAGAAGCAGATTTGATGCATTAAATACTAAAGACTGAAGACCAGAAGAGTTGTGGAATGACATCAAGCAAATCATACAGGAAGAAAGCAAAAGGTCACTAAGACAAGAACAAAGGAAAAGACCAAAATGGACGTCAGAAGAGACTCTGAAACTTGCTCTCCAGCATAGAGATGCTAAAGCAAAGGGAAGAAATGAGGCGGTACAAGAATAATAGCAATGGGCTCCAATGGAGCAATGATTATGATGTTGGCCCAGCACTGGGCAGTGTTTTGTTCTGTTGTGCATACAGGTCGCTGTGAGTCGGTACCGGCTGGATGGCACTGGAAAACACCAACAAGCCTCAAAAACTGTGATAGAATATATTTCTGTGTTTTTGTTGTTTCTATGACATCTGCTCTTGGAGGACTAAGACAGGAATGAAAGGATCTAGTGGCTATGGAGAGAAACAACCATTTTAGAACTGCACACTGAAGTGTTTGTGTTTTGCTTTTAATATGTAAGCAAGAAATATCTGACACAAATTGGTAAAATGTAAATGATCAACCTAGGTGATGCGAATTGTTAAGTGTTGTGGAGTTGGTTTTGACTCATAGTGATCTTGTATAGATTTCCAAGGCTTTGAATCTTTGGCAGGTAAAGAAAATCTCATTTTTCTCCCTCAGAGAGGCTGGAGGGCTTGAACCACAGACCTTGTGGTTCACAGTCTATGCTTATCCTATGTTGCCACTGCGCTCTCCAGATGATGAGAATATGGATACTTGCTTCATTAGTCTGATTTTCAGTATGTTGAAAAACAACAAAATTAAAAGTAAACAAAAGAGAAAAGGGGAGAGGGTATTGAAGGAGGAGTAAATGGCTGATATTGTACAAAAGACAAACAAACAAACAGTGGAACAAAAAGTACATGTCAAATGAGAATGATATTTCTGGTATTCAAGTTTCCAACCACAAAATTGCTCCACATACTAAGTATCTTAAGACCTAACTCCACCCTTGTCTGTTAGTCTGTTGTACTGCAGTGGTAATACCTGCAGGTCACCATCATGGACAGATTTCAGCAGAATTTCCAGAGTAAAGCAGACCAGGAAGAAAGGTCTGGCAATCCAAAACCAGTCACTGAAAACCCTACAGATGACAACAGAACACTGTCTGCTGTAGTGCTGGGAGGTGATGCCCCAGGTTGGAAGGCACTCACAATACACAGTGGCCTCGGCTACATGCTGAGGTTGATGCTGGACCAGATAGTGTTTCATTCGGTTGTATGCGGGGTCGCTATGAGTTTGAGTGGACCTAACTGCAACTTACCACCACAGCAGCAAGGACATAGGAATGATTAATGTTTAAGGCAGGAATGGGTCCTCAGACTCATTTTATACATGTGGAAACAAAGGAAGCTCTGAGCTAGGGCCTGGAATTCCCGTCTGTTGACCTCCAGTTCCCTCTCCCAGTTAGGCCTGAGACTGGGAAACCCATAAAAGGCGAGGAGTCTTGGAGAGGCCTGAGGTAAAGAGCTCCAGCCAGCTCCTTACCTTTCTGTCTCCAGCAGCATCGGAGGCAGCTCAAATGGAGCTCCCCATGGGAGGTCCTTCCTGTCGTCAGGCTGATCTCGGCTGGAATCCTCGGGTGGAGGAGATATATTCAGCACAGAGCCATCCTGGGAGCAGACAGAGGAGTTGTGTGGGGCCGGCAAGGATGCAGGCAAGCTGTGTCGCCAAGCAAGGCATCCCCGGTGGGAAGGCCCCTGTCCTCCCGCCACCACCTGTCAAGGAAACCACCACAGCGGGACAGCCAGCACATCAGCTCATTAACTTGCTTCCAGCTGTTCCCTTTCCATCTCAGAGACAGATTGGAATCTTTGCTGCAATCCCCTTGGGCCCTTAGCGTGCAGCTTTGACTCTTGTACCAGGAAACCCCTGTCTGTCCTAGAGGCCTTGGCCAGAGCACCCTCAAATCCTGCAGATGGGGCATAGCCAGAATAGGCTGGTGGGACCTTCGGGCACTCCTTCAAACCAGTCACAGTTTGTAAGGCTGCGGTCACTGTCTGTATCCCCAGAGGCTCCAGCCCAGTCTTATGAGAGGAATCGGATGTCAGAGAAGAATCGGCATCTCAGACAAGCCTGGAAGCAGCTTACTTGGGGGTGGTCCCAGGAAAAACATGGGGAAAGTGGAGGATGCCAACAAAGGGGGTACTTAACCCACTGGAAGAGCCTGGGGGCAGGCACCTAAGCACCTCACAGTTAACCTCCCCACAGAGGTGGAAGGCTTGAGGTGCTGACCCACTCAGTTCTCACATCAGCTGTATTAGAAGCCCTGATATTTGGGCTGGCAGTGGGACAATTTGACCATGATGCCACAAGGGCCCCTGGACACGTATGCAGTGGTGCTATATCTCCGAAGGCCCCCAGCTCAGCACTCCCACCTACAGACAGACACCGACCACCATGGACTGAACTGTGTCCCCCAAAACTACGTGTGGAAATCTTAACCCTGTTCCTGTGACTGGGGGCCCTGCAGTGAAATGGAAGGTCAGTGGTTGGAAGCCAGCAGCCTCTCTATGGGAAAAAGATGAGGCTATCTGCTTCCGTACAATAAACAGCTCCCAAAGCCCTGTGGGGCAGCTCAGTTCATCCTACAGGATCACTATGTTTTGGGATGGATGCCATAAAATGCAACAACCCTCATGGTAAAAATGATGTTGTTATTAAGCGCCGTTGAGTTGGTTCCGACTCATAGCGATGCTGCATAAGGTTTCTGAGCAGCGGCTGGTAGGTTTGAACCACTGATCTTGTGGTTAGCACTCCAGCGCTTATCCTATAGTGCAACACCTGGTTTTCACAATTTTATGTGTTTATTTAAGGAGCCCTGGTGGCTCTGTAGGATAAGCACTGAATTGCTAAACCTCAAGGTCAGTAGTTCAAACCCACCAGCTGTTTTGCAGAAGGAAAATGATGTTTTCTGCTCCTGTAAAGATTTGCAGCCTCAGAAACCCTGCACAGGGTCGCTATGAGTCAGAACCAACTGCACAGCACATAACAACAACAACAAAGATGTACAGCCTTGGGGTCACTATGAATCAGAATCAACTCAATGGCAATGGGTTTGGGTTTGGGTTTGGTGGTGCAGTGCTCAGCTGTTAATGGGATGACCAACAATTCAAACCCACCAGCTACTCAGGAGAAAGATGTGGCAATCTGCTTCTGTGGAATGACAGAGGGGAAATCCTCAGAGAGTCGGAGTCAACTCAGTCCAGGTGGGTTGGGTTTTTGGTTTGATTTCTCTTTAAGGAGGCTAGTCCTGCCGTGGCTAGGCCCTCAGCTGCTAACTGAAGGGCTGGTGGCTCGAATCCTCTAGCTGCTCCAAGGGAAAAAGATGTGGCATTCTGCTTCTGTAAAGATTATCGCTGTGGAAACTCCATGGGACAGTCCTACCCTATCCTATAGGGTCACTAGGAGTCACTAGGGATGGATTCAACAACAACATGTTTTTGTAGGTGTTGACAAGACCTAAAGAGTCCTTGGTGATTCAAACCCACTAGGTGCTCAGGAGAAAGATGTGACAGCGTCCTTCCATAGAGATGAGTCTTAGAATCCCTCTGGGGGCAGTTCTACTCTGTCCTATAGTACCCCTACGAGTCAGAATCAGCAGTGGGTTTGGGGTTTGGTTCCTGTAACTGTGACCCCATTGAAAATAGAGGTTTTCTCCTGTTATATTCATAGGAACACTCGAAATAAGTAGGTTCTAAGCCTAATCCACTCTGAGTGATCAAAGAGCAGTCTAGATACAGAGACACACACACAGGGGACAACACCGTGTAAGGAACCATACACAGGCCAAAGAATGCCAGGCCACTGACCAGGAAGACCGTCTGCTGAAGCTGACACCCTCACGTGGGTGTACAGCCTCCAGCCATGTGGTCCTACTGTCACAGAAGCCATTTTCCACCCAGTCCCCTCTTTCCACCCACATGGAGGCGGGACTCACACGGAGGGCTCCGGCCATCAGCGAGTGCAGCAGCAGCAGGCGGTTGAGTGTGCCCTCACCCAGCTCCTGTGAGTACAGGCGGTATTGCTTATCTAGAGAGTCTGGCACTGGGAGCCCACCATCTTTGTGGGGGAGAAAAAGCAGAGGTTAGAAGGGGCTGGGTGGGACATGTCAACCCCACAACAGCTAAATCAGACAGAATACCTGCCACCGGATGCTTGTTGGAAAGATAGGAGAACTATTTGGGAAACTTGAAGGCAAATATCCCAGCCTGAGAAAACAGGTTTTTGCAGACTTCTGTCTGTTCCCTTTTTACATTTCTTCTCGTTCGCAAATTCTATGGTGTTTATGTACTGCTTTTCAATCATAACAAAATTGCTGTTAATAAATTTCAAGTATGAACAAAATAAAAGCTCAAAGTTACAGGAGAACTCCTGGGTATGAACCCAAAGAACTAAAAGCAGGCATGCAAACAGACTGATGTGCACTCATGGTCACTGTAGAACTGGTTACAAGAACCCAAAGCTGGACATAGTCCAGGGTCCATCAGCAGACGGTGGAGACACACGGTGTGGTCTTTCCACACACTGGAAAATCATTCAGTCCTAAAGAAGAGTGAAGAGGAAAAGTCCTGATGTGCCATCACCTAGATGAACCTTGACCACATCCTGCTGTGGGAAACCTGTCAATCACTTCCTTTGCATGTGAATGATCTAGAATACGTGAATGCATAGAGACAGGAAGTAGATTTGTGGTCAGAAGGAACTGGAGGTAGAGGCTAGGAGTGACAGCTTAGCAGGTGCAGGATCAGGGTGCAGGGAAGGGAGAGCCATAAAGTTTTGGAATAGAATAATAGTGATTAGCCAAGGACATTACAAATGTAATCAAACACCACTACTTAAAATGCTTAAAAATGGTTCAAATAGAAAATTTTATGTTATATAAATTTCAACAAAGTAGCCCTGTTTGTGCAACGATTAAGTGCTTGGTTGTTCACCTAGAGTTTAGGTTCAAACCCACCCAGTGGGTCTGAGCCATGACTCGGAAACCCTATACAGGGTCGCTATGTACTCAAGGGCAGTTAACAACCACATATGAATATACAGTGATACAACGTATGACAGCCTAGATGTGCCCTGTCAAGTGTGGTCATCCTGAGACGTCCGTTCTGCCCTATCATGTGGGGTCCTCATGAGTTAACAGGTCTACCCTGTCACATGGGGTGGTCAAGAATTGGAAAGAGCTGGACAGCACCCAACATCCTCTTGCATCTGGAGGAAGAGTATACCGGGGTGCAGGCTGCAAAGGTGGCTCACCCTGGATGAGCTGCCGCTGGCCCTGAATTATCTGCTCACAGAGCAGTCGGTGCTGGTGGTAGCGCTGGATCACAAAGTCCTTCTGGCACAGCAGGTTCTTGCGGTACAGGTTGTTGGCCTGCAGCTCAGTGTTTTCCACCTCCAGCTCGTGGGCATGGCACAGCAGCCGTAGCACCTCCCGCTGGTCCTCACTGATGACCTGCTCAGGCAGCAGCTTCTCCATCTGTGAGGCCTTCTTCTTGGTGTTGGCCAGCCGCTGCTCCAGCCCCGCCTACCAAGGAGACTGAGAGTGAGTACAGACATGTCTCCCGGGGAGATGTGTAGACTGCCAACCCCAAACCCTCACTGCACCGAGCAGACTTGGACCCACAGTGACCCGATAGGACAAAGTGGAACTGCTCCTTAGGGTTTCTGAGTCTGTGCATCTTTACAGAAACAGAAAGCTTCATCTTTCTCCTAAAGAGCAACTAGTAGGTTTGAACTGCTGACCTCGTAGATAGCAGCCCAACACTTAACCCATGGCACCACCAGGGCTCCTGAGATGGCCAACAAGCACATGAAAAGATGCACAGTTGCCCTAACAAGACTCTACTTCTCCTTATAAATGGGACTCCACAGTGGTCTTCTTCCTGAAGTCCACCCCAACTCAAGACTGGGCTTTTGATCTACATCCATTACAGCATGGGAGCTAGCCGTGCCTCTCTTTCCCCATCAGAGAGAATCTGGTCACTTTTATGTCCCTGGGGCCTGGCCTGGAACTGGACACTGAAAAACATGTGTTTGCTTTAATGAACCAGTAATTCATGGCATTGGCATGCTGCCTGGGGGGCAACATCAAACATTGCCTCTTAACGGTCACATTCCTTTTCCTATGCATGCTATCGGTATGTGCAAAATGCACTTTCTGCCTTTGGAAGGTCTGAAGGCTTCAGATGAGGGTATTCAGTCATCTCCAAACTACCGCAGGCAGATGTGAGCACATCTGAGATTCTGTGCTTTGGCTCCAGAACTTTTGGGTGAAATGAATCCCACCACCTGCTTGTAACAACCTGACATCATCCCCTTGGTCTTTGCTTGCCTGCAAATACACCTGCAGACACTTAGCTCTGGGCTACACATCAGTTTTCTTCTATCTCCTCCATCAGGACCCATCCTGTCATTTTTTTTCTGGCAAGAAACTATTAGGTAACCATGTTGGTTACGTAAATAGTTCACTCTTCTTGGAAAACCAAAATAAATACCCACTGAGAGGAGCTGCGAAGGTGCCTTCCTTCTGGCTGTATCCCTCAGGTACCCAGCAAGGCCCTGGTGGAAGCCTCGGTTCAGCCATCAGGAGGGCAGGAGCTGGCTGTCCATCACAGGAGGCGAGGCACATAGGGAACCACAGTGCCACTCATGTCCTGTGTCCACTGACTTCTCTGCCCCCATGACCCCCTGCCCGGCACACTGCCACCCAGACCCAGCCTGGGCTGACTCTTGGGAGGTGGGCCAGCTCACTGAACTCTCAGGGCTACAGCTGTGGGAGAGATCAGGGTGACAAGGGGTCAGGGACTGTGAGTGACACAGCATCTTATCACCATCTTCCAGTGCCCCCCACCTTGAGGGCGGCTGTTCTCCGCTGCTCCGCGAGAAGCATGTTTATCTCCTCTCTGGCCAGGGCCACCTCGTGTGGCTCCGCAGACTCGCCATCATCACCCTCCATGTTAGTCTCCAGTGGTTCCTCGTCCCTATTGAGCTCTGGCTGCTCCCTGTGGGCATGGTGGGGCTTCTCACGCTCCCAGCTGTGGACACAACAGGGTGTCAGAATGCCAAGACTGGACATGCTGCAACTCAGGCCTTCAGACATGGACATGGAAGGGTTGGCCCATAATACCACCTCCTCTCTAGTAAAGAGCAGCCCCTCAGCTCCTCCACCCTCAGACGTGGACAAGGGAGGACTGGTCTATAGTACCACCTCCTCTATACTAACATTCAGGCACTCAGGCCTCCTGCCCCAGGCATGGACACAGAAGGTCTCCTCTTGTGCATGGTCTATCTACACGGAAGGGCAGTAGGGACACACAGGAAAACAGCACCATAAGCAGCTGCAGGTCACTGAGTGGAGCCAGCACGGCCCACCTCCAGCACAAACTGACTCCCTGAAGCCTCAGTTCCCAGCAGTCTGTGCATTGGAGTATCCTGAGGACAGACTGTGATAACTGTGACTTGTGGTCAAAGCCCCACAGACCCCTGTGAGGGACTGGACGTGACCTGGGTGAGGAAAGCATGCAGCTGAAAGTGGGTGAGTCATGAGTGTGTCCCTTTTTATTTAGAATTCCTCGCATGTAGGTATCATGCTGTTCATATAAATTTTGGGGGAAAAACCCCACACAAACAAACAGGGAGAAAGGAGGTAGAGAAACGGGGAGACGCGAGAAGAGAGAAAGGGAAGATCAGGGCTTCTATGCCAGCACTGAGGTTTAAGCTACTTGTAAGTGGAGTGTGATAGTTAAGGCTCTATGTCAACTTGATTGAGTCAGGATTACCAGTCATTTGGCAGTTGATAGTTAACTCTGTGATGATTGGCATTGAGCAACCAATCAATTGAATGGATGTTTCCTTGGGGGTATGGGCTGCCCCCAACATAATGGACATGCAGGGAAGACTTGAGCTCTTTTCCTCTGGATCTGGGTCTCACATCTGGGTCGTCCTCCAACCTCCAGTTCTTAGAACCTGAGCCAGTGGCCTGCTGTGTTATATGTCTGCTGTCTGGGCCCTTCACTGAGAGTGCCTGGCAAACCAGATGCCACCAGGGGGCTCTGCATGTCTGTTCTTGTTGCCTGGCTCAAGTGCTCTGCTCTGCTGATTCTGCAGTGTGCCTGCCCAGGTCTTGGTTGCCCGTCACTGCAGCCCCTGTTCTGAACTCAACTGCTGATCTTGGTTCACCTAGCCTGTACTTTGTTGTTGTTGTTAAGCACTGTTGAGTCGGGTCCAACCCATAGTGACCCTGTATAGGGTTTCTGAGGAGCAGCTGGTGAGCTTGCACCTTGACTTTGCAGTTCAACGCATTAACCCACAGGGCCACACCAGGTCTCAGGACTCTCCTAGCTATAAAATTGCGATCCATTTCCTTGATAGAAACTTCTCTTCATATATGTGGTGCTGTGGAATAATACACTGTGCCTCAAGGCCGGTTTGAACCTCAAGGTCAGCGATTCAAACTCACCAACCACTCTTCAGAAATCCTATACAGGGTCGCTATGAGTCAGAGCAACTCAATGGCACTTGTTGTTGTTGTGAAGTGCCATAGAGTCGGTTCCAACACATAGTGACCCTGTAGGGGGCTTCCGAGGAGCAGCTGGTGAGCTTGAACCCCCGTCCTTGCAGTTCAAATGGCTTTGCAGTCTGGCGCATTAACCCACAGCGCCGCACCAGGACTAACAACTATATCTATATGTAGTGTAGTGTTTATAAATCAGGCTGCGAACCTCAAGGTCAGCAGTTCGAAACTACCAGCAGTGCCGCGGAAGAAAGATGAGGCTTTCTGCTCCTGTAAAGATTTACAGCCTTGGAAACCCTGTACAGGGTCTCTATGAGTCAAAACCGACCTCACGGCACATAACCACCAACCACCACCATCATATCTATATGTAGCACTGGTTTTGTTTCTCTAGACAACCGAGTCTAATCCACCCCTTGTCAACTTGGCACCAATAAACTATATGCATAATCTCTAAATAAAGAAAATTGTAAAATTATACTTGCATCTAAGGTAACTAAAACACGTAAAACTGAAAACGCACTGACTCCATTTTCATCTTATAGGTCCAAATTAAGAAAGCAGAAATATTTGATGTACACATATAAAACAAAACATAAAAACAAAAATATAAATGTAGCTAAGTGGGACAGAGGTAAATAATGATGTATGCACAACCTTGGAACAACAGGGCTCTGGAATACAGGGATTGAGGCATGGTTGGAATGGGCAAAACAGGGGAAATAATGTTAAGATGCTTGGCTGTCTTTTGAATCTTGGTTTCCCTGGCATAGCATTATAAAATAGACATTTGAGGGGGAAAGAAATAGCCAGAAATACCACCATAAAAAGTTTGTAAGTCTGTCTTCTGCCTATAACTGATTGGAATACCTAAAATGGGGCTACAATGTGCCCTGTGAAGGAGGCTTCCTGCGGAGCCTCTGCATTTCATAAGACCATAGGTGGAATCCTGAGCCCCATGCATAATCATCTGAGGTGGGAAATCTCCACTTGAAAGGACAAGCAGTCCAGCCTAGAGCAGCTAGAAGTACAGAGATACTTCTTAAAAGAAGGACTGACAGGAAAAGTACAAACAATAATGGCAGCCCGACTGTTACTACAAGAACAAGCAAGTTGCTTGCCCAGGAGACATCAAGGCAAATGGTCAAGTCCCCTCAGGGCAAACCCTCTTTCAAGACTAAGACTCAATGGGAATACACGAGCAGACATGTGCTCTGACAAGTGACCACGTTGGTCACCGATAAGAGGAAGTGAGGGAAAAACAGCAATGAAACTGTGAGCTAAGTCCAACCACGTTCAATAGATTCCTGTGAACCCGGATGGAGACCTGGTTGGCCAGCAGTTTGCCAAGACCTGGAAACTCCTGGGCCTAGACATAGCCACAAAGGACTAGAGTGGAAAATGAAGCATCTAGCTGATAAGAAGAGAGGGCATATGCACAAGATCACTCACACTTGCAGATAATACCCACTTGACCTGGCTTCAGTGGCTAGATGATCAGAACTTGACGAGAAGAAGAAAGAAAAGAGAAAAAGAGTAATCTGATATAATTTGATGAACTTGACCTACACCTATGGATGCAGTAGCTCAAAAGAGGGAACAAATCTTTACAGCAAGGATTATTCCCCCTCAATACACAGGGTAGACAGGGATGGGCAACTTGGACATTGGCTACCCAAAATGGAGGGGCTACAAAGGCAAGAAGTGACTGGCTTACAAGCTTTCAAGAGGGAGCCTAGTAGGAAACATCAAGGCAAGTGGCCAGGTCCTCTCAACGCAAACCCCCTTCCAAGACTAAGACTCAACGGAAATACTTGCTCTGATTGGTAGCCACACACATCACCGATGGGGGGAAGTGGGGTAAAAGCAGCAATGAAACGGCAAGCTAAGCCCTACAATGTTCAGTGGACTTCTGTGGACCCAGCTGGGGACATGGTTGGCAAGCAGTGTGAAGAGGCCTGGGGACTCTTGGGCCCAGAGACAGTAGTGTGGCCACGGAGGGACTTGAGAGGAGAGTGGAGCTACTGGCTGATGGGAAGAGAGGACATATGCACAGGAGTGCCCACCCACGTGACCTGGACCGGATGACTGGATGATCGGAGCTCAACCAGGAGAGGAAAGAAGAGGTGAAAAAAAAAAAGAGTGAGCTGATACAATCTGATGAACTTGACCTATATCTATGGAGCAGCAACTCAAAAGAGGGAACAAATCCTCACAGCAAGAAACATTCACACACACCCCCACACACAGAGTGGATGGAAAAGTGCAGCTTGGACATTGGATACTCAAATGGAGGAGGAGGGGACGATGAAGGCAAGAAGTGACTGGCTTACAAGCTTTCAAGAGGGAACCTAGTGCTAGGGAGCATGGAGGAGGGCAGAACCTCCAGTAGGTACTATTCAATCTGTCTGGGCGGAGCTGATGAAAGGAGATACAGATGGGTAACTCGTGATACTGTAGTGAATAATGCTTATCAGGATGGATTATGAGGGTTGGAAATGCAAAGGTAGAAGTTTTGTAACAAGGAAGGGAGTGATTGATTCTCCAGGATAG